AGACCACATGACCTTCTCCCATTCCTCCTCTGGATCATCCAGATGGTCATTGGCAAACTTCAGACGGGCCTGGACATGCGCTGGCTTGAGCAGGGGGACCTTGCGTGCGCTGCAGGATTTTAATCCATGACGGCGTAGTGTGTTACTAATGGTTTTCTTTGAGACTGTGGTCCCAGCTCTCTTCAGGTCATTGACCAGGTCCTGCCATGTAGTTCTGGGCTGATCCCTCACCTTCCTCATGATCATTGATGCCCCACGAGGTGAGATCTTGCATGGAGCCCCAGACTGAGGGTGATTGACCGTCATCTTGAACTTCTTCCATTTTCTAATAATTGCGCCAACAGTTGTTGCCTTCTCACCAAGCTGCTTGCCTATTGTCCTGTAGCCCATCCCAGCCTTGTGCAGGTCTACAATTTTATCCCTGATGTCCTTACACAGCTCTCTGGTCTTGGCCATTGTGGAGAGGTTGGAGTCTGTTTGATTGAGTGTTTGGACAGGTGTCTTTTATACAGGTAACGAGTTCAAACAGGTGCAGTCAATACAGGTAATGAGTGGAGAACAGGAGGGCTTCTTAAAGAAAAACTAACAGGTCTGTGAGAGCCGGAATTCTTACTGGTTGGTAGGTGATCAAATACTTTTGTCATGCAATAAAATGCAAATTAATTACTTAAAAATCATACAATGTGATTTTCTGGATTTTTGTTTTAGATTCCGTCTCTCACAGTTGAAGTGTACCTATGATATAAATTGTGTGAAATTATTTTATTATGTTGCTATGTGAATGATTATAGTTTTTATGGTAGGCGTGCATGTATCAAGGGGTTGAGGCTGAACTTTGAACTCATAAAAGGGCATTCAGAATGATAATGTTGTTTGACTTTAGAAAATGGTGAAACATTTGGAGCAAACTCAATATACTCAAGGTTTGTGTTCATATTTGTTCTGCTGAGGATCGATTTCATTTGAATGATCTCATTTTCAAATAGCCTTAGTTCCTACTGTATCTTTATTTCTTTGATTATCAGACAGTCAGCAACAAGTTGTTCTGGTCTTACCTGTTTCTCAGTCCTCTCTGCTGCAGCTGACACTGTATCATGGCCTTTATGTTTATCCATTGTACACAGATAACAGATACACTGCTGATCGGTACGACAGTAAACCTCCAGCAGTTTGTCATGATGAGAGCAGATCTTCTCCTGTAGTTGTGCGGTGGCTTTGACCAGCTTGTGCTTCTTGAAAGCAGGAGATTCATAGTGAGGTTGGAGGTGAGTCTCACAGTAAGAGGCCAGACATGCCAGACAGGACATGAGGGCTTTCTGCTTTCTGGTCCCAGTGCAGAAATCACACGCCACATCTCCAGGTCCACCATAGCACAGAGCAGGAGGGGAAGCAGCCTGGAGTCCTGTCTTCTTCAGTTTCTCCACCACTTCAGCCAGCACGATGTTTCTCTTCAGAACAGGCCTTGGGGTAAAGGTCTGTCTGCACTGGGGACAGCTGTAGACACCTTTCAGACGATCCTGTTCCCAACTTTCTTTAATACAGCCCATACAGTAGCTGTGTCCACAGGCAGTAGTCACCGGATCCTTCAGTGGATCCAGACAGATGGAGCAATGGAACAGGTCCTGATTCTCTGCCATTATGGTGCTCTCTCCCATAGGTTAACCAATGGCAGTGTCAAAGATTACTTTGTGTTTCATGGAACACTACACCAGAGGACAGGAAGTGGCTTCCTACTTGAGAGTTTACTCTGTATGTAGAGGGGGTGTGGTTTATTTGATAAGGAATTGTGACAGAGTGTTGGGTAGTAGGCAGAGATGGTTAGTATTTATGTTACATCTATGTGAAATATGTATTTTAACTACTTCTGAGTATTTTGTCATTTGAATCACACTGGGCTGAACTACACTCCAATGTATTTTTATTTTCAAAATACAAAATACTATTTTGTACCATTTTTTAAAATAGTGGTTCATATTTTGCATTAATTGAAAGTCGCTCTGGATAAGATCGTCTGCTAAATGATTAAAATGTAAATGTACATGTAAAAATTAATCATTGCAATCACTTAAAAACTCAATTTAAAGAGATACTTCGGGATTTAGGCAGTGAAGCCCTTTATCTACTTCCCTCTCTGTTTCCCTCCTTCTCCCCTCCTCTCCTCTCTCAGTGCTGGGTCATGCGTGTGCGGCCCTGTCTGTCCTGGTAGCGGGCCTGTCTGAGGTCCACAGGAAGGGCTATCCTCTACCGGAGCAGGCCCTGTCAGGGAAGGTGCTCCAGGTGTCCTCCATGGCCTGCTTCCAGCTGGATCCCCAGTACATCCTACTGGGGCTGGCTGAGGTTCTCGTCTCCCCCGCCTGGGAGTGACAGAGAGCCAGCACGTATTTCTGACACACCTATTGCTGCTACACTGTTAATACACAGAGACAAACTGGGTTGGATATTTAGAATGTCAATGGACACCATATGTAGTTGGGATGAAGTTAGAATGGCAAGACGGAGCAAGACGGAGCTGCTCTTCTTCCCGGGGAAGGACTGCCCGTTCCATGATCTCGCCATCACGGTTGACAACTCCGCTGTGTCCTCCTCCCAGAGTGCGAAGAGCCTAGGCGTGACCCTGGACAACACCCTGTCGTTCTCCGCCAACATCAAGGCGGTGACCCGCTCCTGCAGGTTCATGCTCTACAACATTCGGAGAGTACGACCCTGCCTTACACAGGAAGCGGCACAGGTCCTAATCCAGGCACTTGTCATCTCCCGTCTGGACTACTGCAACTCGCTGTTGGCTGGCCTCCCTGCCTGTGCCATTAAACCCCTACAACTCATCCAGAATGCCGCAGCCCGTCTGGTGTTCAACCTTCCCAAGTTCTCTCACGTCACCCCCCTCCTCCGCACACTCCACTGGCTTCCAGTTGAAGCTCGCATCCGCTACAAGACCATGGTGCTTGCCTATGGAGCAGTGAGGGGAACGGCACCTCTGTACCTTCAGGCTCTGATCAGTCCCTACACCCAAACGAGGGCATTGCGCTCATCCACCTCTGGCCTGCTGGCTCCCCTTCCTCTGCGGAAGCATAGTTCCCGCTCAGCCCAGTCAAAACTGTTCGCTGCTCTGGCACCCCAATGGTGGAACAAGCTCCCTCACGACGCCAGGACAGCGGAGTCACTCACCACCTTCCGGAGACATTTGAAACCCCACCTCTCTAAGGAATACCTGGGATAGGATAAAGGAATCCTTCTACCCCCCCCCCCCCCCAATTGTAAAGTGGTTATCCCACTGGCTATAGGGTGAACGCACCAATTTGTGAGTCGCTCTGGCTAAGAGCGTCTGCTAAATGACGTTAATGTGCCCTTGAGCAAGGCACTTAACCCTAATTGCTCCTGTAAGTCGCTCTGGATAAGAGCGTCTGCTAAATGACTAAAATGTAAATGTAAATGTAATGTGGAGTGTTGGAACCAACTGCCAAAATGGAGGATAGTCATCTGAATTCTGGAAGCTAGGGTTAGGATGCCCCCTACTGGTGTATTAGAGACAGACAAGCGACGTTTGAACCAAATGAATGCTTCTTTCTCTTAGACAGTATAGACCTACTAGTCTGTGCAGATGAGACAGGTGACAGTATTGAAACAGGTGACAGTATTAAGACAGGTGACACTATTGAGACAGGTGACAGTATTGAGACAGGTGACAGTATTGAGACAGAGGACAGTATTGAGACAGGTGATAGTATAGAGACAGGTGACAGTAGAGACAGATGACAGTATTGAGACAGGTGACAGTATTGAGACAGGTGACAGTACTGAGACAGATGACAGTATTGAGACAGATGACAGTATTGAGACAGGTGACAGTACTGAGACAGATGACAGTACTGAGACAGGTGACAGTATTGAAACAGGTGACAGTATTGAGACAGGTGACAGTATTGAGACAGGTGACAGTATTGAGACAGATGACAGTATTGAGACAGACTACAGTATTGAGACAGACTACAGTATTGAGACTGGTGACAGTATTGAGACAGGTGAAAGTATTGAGACGGGTGACAGTATTGAGACGGATGACAGTATTGAGACAGGTGACAGTGTTGAGACAGGTGACAGTATTGAGACAGACTACAGTATTGAGACAGATGACAGTATTGAGACAGATGACAGTATTGAGACAGGTGACAGTATTGAGACAGGTGACAGTATTGAGACAGGTGACAGTATTGAGACAGATTACAGTAGAGACAGATGACAGTATTGAGACAGATGACAGTACTGAGACAGGTGACAGTATTGAAACAGGTGACAGTATTGAGACAGATTACAGTATTGAGACAGATGACAGTATTGAGACAGATTACAGTAGAGACAGATGACAGTATTGAGACAGATTACAGTATTGAAACAGGTGACAGTATTGAGACAGGTGACACTATTGAGACAGGTGACAGTATTGAGACAAATGACACTATTGAGACAGAGGACAGTAGAGACAGGTGACAGTATAGAGACAGGTGACAGTAGAGACAGATGACAGTATTGAGACAGATGACAGTATTGAGACAGGTGACAGTATTGAGACAGATGACAGTATTGAGACAGGTGACAGTACTGAGACAGATGACAGTATTGAGACAGATTACAGTAGAGACAGATGACAGTATTGAGACAGATTACAGTATTGAGACAGGTGACAGTATTGAGACAGGTGACACTATTGAGACAGGTGACAGTATTGAGACAGGTGACAGTATTGAGACAGAGGACAGTAGAGACAGGTGACAGTATAGAGACAGGTGACAGTAGAGACAGATGACAGTATTGAGACAGGTGACAGTATTGAGACAGATGACAGTATTGAGACAGGTGACAGTACTGAAACAGGTGACAGTATTGAGACAGATGACAGTATTGAGACAGATGACAGTATTGAGACAGGTGACAGTATTGAGACAGGTGACAGTACTGAGACAGATGACAGTAATGAGACAGGTGACAGTATTGAAACAGGTGACAGTATTGAGACAGGTGACAGTATTGAGACAGGTGACAGTATTGAAACAGGTGACAGTATTGAGACAGGTGACAGTATTGAGACAGATGACAGTATTGAGACAGGTGACAGTATTGAGACAGATGACAGTACTGAGACAGGTGACAGTATTGAAACAGGTGACAGTATTGAGACAGGTGACAGTGTTGAGACAGGTGACAGTATTGAGACAGATGACAGTATTGAGACAGATGACAGTATTGAGACAGACTACAGTATTGAGACTGGTGACAGTATTGAGACAGGTGACAGTATTGAGACGGGTGACAGTATTGAGACGGGTGACAGTATTGAGACAGGTGACAGTGTTGAGACAGGTGACAGTATTGAGACAGACAACATTATTGAGACAGGTGACAGTATTGAGACAGGTGACAGTATTAAGACAGATGACAGTATTGAGACAGATGACAGTATTGAGACAGATTACAGTAGAGACAGATGACAGTATTGAGACAGATGACAGTATTGAAACAGGTGACAGTATTGAGACAGATGATAGTATTGAGACAGATTACAGTATTGAGACAGGTGACAGTATTGAGACAGGTGACAGTACTGACACAGGTGACAGTATTGAGACAGGTGACAGTATTGAGACAGGTGACAGTATTGAGACAGATGACAGTATTGAGACAGGTGACAGTATTGAAACAGGTGACAGTATTGAGACAGATGACAGTATTGAGACAGGTGACAGTATTGAAACAGGTGACAGTATTGAGACAGATGACAGTATTGAGACAGACTACAGTATTGAGACAGATGACAGTATTGAGACAGATGACAGTATTGAGACAGGTGACAGTACTGAGACAGATGACAGTACTGAGACAGGTGACATTATTGAGACAGGTGACAGTATTGAGACAGGTGACAGTATTGAGACAGATGACAGTATTGAGACAGACTACAGTATTGAGACAGACTACAGTATTGAGACTGGTGACAGTATTGAGACAGGTGAAAGTATTGAGACGGGTGACAGTATTGAGACGGATGACAGTATTGAGACAGGTGACAGTGTTGAGACAGGTGACAGTATTGAGACAGACTACAGTATTGAGACAGATGACAGTATTGAGACAGGTGACAGTATTGAGACAGGTGACAGTATTGAGAAAGGTGACAGTATTGAGACAGGTCACAGTATTGAGACAGGAGACAGTGTGGAGACAGATGACAGTATTGAGACAGATGACAGTACTGAGACAGGTGACAGTATTGAAACAGGTGACAGTATTGAGACAGATGACAGTATTGAGACAGATTACAGTATTGAGACAGGTGACAATATTGAGACAGATGACAGTATTGAAACAGATTACAGTAGAGTCAGATGTCAGTATTGAGACAGATTACAGTATTGAGACAGGTGACAGTATTGAGACAGGTGACACTATTGAGACACGTGACAGTATTGAGACCGGTGACAGTATTAAGACAGATGACAGTATTGAGACAGGTGACAGTATTGAAACAGGTGACAGTATTGAGACAGATGACAGTATTGAGACAGATTACAGTATTGAGACAGGTGACAGTATTGAGACAGATGACAGTATTGAGACAGATTACAGTAGAGACATATGACAGTATTGAGACAGATTACAGTATTGAGACGGGTGACAGTATTGAGACAGGTGACAGTGTTGAGACAGGTGACAGTATTGACACAGACAACAGTATTGAGACAGGTGACAGTATTGAGACAGGTGACAGTATTGAGACAGATGACAGTATTGAGACAGATTACAGTAGAGACAGATGACAGTATTGAGACAGATGACAGTACTGAGACAGGTGACAGTATTGAAACAGGTGACAGTATTGAGACAGATGACAGTATTGAGACAGATTACAGTATTGAGACAGGTTACAGTATTGAGACAGGTGACAGTACTGACAGTTGACAGTATTGAGACAGGTGACAGTATTGAGACAGGTGACAGTATTGAGACAGGTGACAGTATTGAGACAGATGACAGTACTGAGACAGGTGACAGTATTGAAACAGGTGACAGTATTGAGACAGATGACAGTATTGAGACAGACTACAGTATTGAGACTGGTGACAGTATTCAGAGGGGTGACAGTATTGAGACAGACTACAGTATTGAGACAGATGACAGTATTGAGACAGATGACAGTATTGAGACAGATGACAGTATTGAGACAGGTGACAGTATTGAGACAGGTGACAGTATTGAGACAGGTGACAGTATTGAGACAGGTGACAGTATTGAGATGGGTGACAGTATTGAGACAGATCACAGTACTGAGACAGGTGATATGATATGTGTTATGTGTCATCTATTGGTCTAAATGTATATACTGGTTCATAGATTACTGTAAATAGCTGATTAATTGTGTCAATCAATTCAATAATAGAGCAATTCCAATGTCATGATTTTGACTTTTATTTTGAAAGATCACATTGATTCAGTAAGTGATTCAGAATACTGAATTGTTTGGATTCAAACATGTACATGGGTTATTTAAATATTCTCATCTGATCATAAATGGATCAACAATGATCCCAGTTTCTGATTTGACTGGTTTGCCAGTACTACAGTTTACATCAAGAGAAAAAGAGACACATTTACAGAGGATTGCAACAGCCAAGAGGTGATCAGGTAGACAGTAAAAGTCTGAAGCCTGAGTGTCAGTCTGTATGTGCTATAATGCCATCTGTTTAGCAAGACCACTAACAGATCTGGGACCAGGCTACAAAGAATGTGCTATGTCTGAACATTTAAAAAATGTTTTTTACAATTATGTTAAAAAGGGGAATTGAACCAGATCATAGGCCTACTGGAAGACTGTTAACAACCCAGAAGCTCTCCAACAATATGTCTGAAATGGTTGAAATCATCTGTATCTACTGGTAATTATTCAGATATGATGTTGTACCAATCCCAAACCCAGGATAGAGGGGCTTAGTGAATGTGGTCTGGACTCTGTGGAGGAGGGTCATTGTGTCAGAGACGCTGTAGAAGGACAGAGTTCCTGCCCTGTGGTCCAGGTACACTCCTACTCTGGAGGACCAGGGGACATATATTTCTGTTTGATTAGCATAGGGCCAAAACCTACAATGGGGGGATAGCACTCCAAAGTCCAGGACTGACTGTTACCTAGAAATGTAGACTCTGGGACCTTTCCTTTCCTGATGATCCCTTTATATGACACTGCTATTTCAACCCATCCACCACTCCACTCTACCTCCCAGTAGCAGACTCCAGACAGGCCCTCTCTACACAGCACCTGTCTCCAGTAGTCAGGATAGGGCTGAGCTTTATCAGTGGCTGTCACCTTCCAGTTTACCTCAGGCAGGCTGAGTTCTGGATGAGCTGTATTCAGATCCAATGTCAGCTGGAGGACGTCTGACTGATGAACAACAAAACCCAATAAGTAAAAGAAAGAACATGTATGTTGTCTTTGAGAGGGTGTTTGAATATCACTGACAGAGGGACAACTCTTCTTTGGTCTTCAGCTCAGGAGACATTTGGAATTATGTCACTATTTAAAATTCAATGTAAATAAATATTAAGAGAAGAACGTGTTGGGGTTTTGAGACTAAAACACATTACACAATGAGCAAAAATAGACAACTGCTCAGCAATATACCTCAAATAAGTTGATTACATTCCATGAGAAATATACCACATATTTTAATAGAGGTTAAAAAACGGCATATCTTAGATCATATGTGTGCACTCCCTACCATTTTTAGACATCATTCCATCTCCTTCACATTTTGTCCAGTTGATCTTTCAGTTCAGGAGGATAAAACGTGATGCCGTCAAAGGAGAGGTGTGAGTTGGCAGGGAGGATGGGAGAGGCCACAGGCTCAGGAGAGTCATAGAGAGACTTAAGACCCTATAGGGAGAGATGAGAGAACTGTTAACAAATGAACACATTCCACCAACATGGGGAGAAAGGCCAGATATGTCACTTTGAGAGACATATTCTACTGTTGATAGACCAAGTGATATCACCTGGAGGAAATGGATGTGATCCTCTGTGTGTGAGAGCTGCTCCAGCTCAGTGCTTCTCTTCCTCAGCTCAGCTATCTCCTGCTCCAGTTGCTCCAGGAGTCCTTCAGCTTGACTCACTGCAGTCTTCTCCTGGCCTCTAATCAACCTTTTCACCTCAGTGAGTATTCTCTAAATGGACCCGATCAGTTCAGTAAAGATTGTTTCAAACTTACTAACTTCTGCCTGTACAGAGCACTGTTAACTCACAGAGAGAGAGGAGGGGGTCAATTTCAACATGCTGTTACTAGACTCCAGACAACCTGTTCCCCACTGTAGGGCTTTTATTGTCTCTGTTGAGCAGTATCTGAGTATTTAATATATATTTTGTGTAAGTGATGTCAAAAAGGTTTACATGTGACTTTGTTTACATGTGACCATGTTGTCTGCACCCAAACCAAGGGCTGGATTCTATCCATATCGAGAAGTATCACGGAAGATCTGCATTAAAATGTCAAATAAATTTTCGACATGTGCAGCGTTTACTGTGAATGCAGTCTCCACGAGCGCGGGAACATTGCCTTTAAATTTAAACTATCTATAACGTGGATCATCCATGATACTTCTGCTATACAGACTGAATCCAGACCCAATTTAGATAAGAAGTCTGTCCTGATAAGAACATCTGCTAATTAACCCAAAGTTTTTTACGGTATACAGTTGATAGAATAATTATTAATGACTAATTATTACACCCTGAAACTGTGTGAAATGTGTTAGAATGTGTGAGTGTAGGACCAGTAAAGACTATGACATTGAACTACTATTTAGCAATGTGAGTAAGAGTTAGGCCAGACAACAAAGGACAAGGAGAACTGTCTATAGACAACTGAGAAACCAAGATAAAGAGGCCTCCCAGTTTAGGGAGGAGAGAAACTGTTAGGCTTTTTAAGGAGTATGAAACATGGTGCAGAATATTGTGAGAACGGTGATAACTGAGGAATTCAGGGAGTAGGCTATGATAAGAAAGTGTGTATGTATGTGTGTATGTATGCATGTGTGTGTGTGTGTGTGTGTGTTTGTGTGTATGTATGTGTGTATGTATGTGTGTATGTGTGTGTGTGTGTGTGAACTGATGGTCAGGAGAGCAGTTTTAAAGTGGAAAACTACAGCCCGCCTACAGAGGGGAGGGATTTTTGTATGACGTATGAGTATAAAAGATGGACTCTGAAATTGTGATGGCAGAATTCTCAATGAATACATCTCTGACTATGCAGACCGGGACTGTTCATTTCTTGATCCTTTTGGGAGACGCACAGAGACACTGAAATAGTTTGTTAAATAATTCACATAACAACAGTAAATGTCCAACACTCAACTTCAGAGTCCCGAGCCTGTCTCAGCTCCTGCATCTCCTTCTCTCTCTCCTGGATTGTCTTCTGGGATTGCTGCTGACTCTCTCTTAATTGCCTCTGCAGAGAGAAAATTGTCAATTTTCCATAATGATGATAAAAACCATGGTTCCACTAGGTGATCTACTTCAGTCAAGCAGGGGAACTAATACATCTGAACATATTTGTTGGACCTCGGACCCCTCGGATACTATCTTGAAAAGTTTAAATTTTCTACATTTTGGGATTATCAATAACACCAGTGAACTGAACATCAGACATGTATAGTAAAGTGACGTTTTAAGCATCCAATCTTTACCTGTTTCATCCAATATTTACCTGTTTCATCCAATCTTTACCCGTTTCATCCAATCTTTACCTGTTTCATCCAATCTTTACCCGTTTCATCCAATATTTACCTGTTTCATCCAATCTTTACCCGTTTCATCCAATCTTTACCTGTTTCATCCAATCTTTACCTGTTTCATCCAATCTTTACCTGTTTCTCAGTCCTCTCTGCTGCAGCTGACACTGTATCATGGCCTTTATGTTCATCCAATGTACACAGCAGACAGATACACTGCTGATCGGTACGACAGTAAACCTCCAGCAGTTTGTCATGATGAGAGCAGATCTTCTCCTGTAGTTGTGCGGTGGCTTTGACCAGCTTGTGCTTCTTAAAAGCAGGAGATTCATAGTGAGGTTGGAGGTGAGTCTCACAGTAAGAGGCCAGACACACCAGACAGGACATGAGGGCTTTCTGCTTTCTGGTCCCAGTGCAGAAATCACACGCCACATCTCCAGGTCCAGCATAGCACAGAGCAGGAGGGGGAGCAGCCTGTAGTCCTGTCTTCTTCAGTTTCTCCACCACTTCAGGCAGCACGATGTTTCTCTTCAGAACAGGCCTTGGGGTAAAGGTCTGTCTACACTGGGGACAGCTGTAGACACCTTTCAGATCATCCTGATCCCAGCTTTCTTTAATACAGCCCATACAGTAGCTGTGTCCACAGGCAGTAGTCACAGGATCCGTCTGTCGCCAATTGGATTGAAACTAGGATTTTAGAATATTCACATTAAAATCTTTCGCCAATTGAATGGAAACAGATTTTCATGCCAATACTCTTAAATCCGCTTAAAAACAATATCCACATCTATAAAAAAAAAGTCACTTGTATTGTAAATAAGAACATAATATGTTTAAGTGACTCCAAAATTACACAATACATTATTTACCATTCAATTCTATTGGGAACAACATCATCTGAAACACAACCAAAACACACTGCAAATGCATCCAACAAGAGTCCCAAGCTTGATGTAGTCATAGCCTGCTAGGAATATGGGACCAAATACTAAACTGTTGACAAAGTGTAATACACTATAAGTGAATTTGTCCAAATACTTATGACACCTTCTTATATTTGTGTTTAATACCATTCCACCTATTCCACTCCAGCCGTTACCACGAGGCCGACCTCCCCAATTAAGATGCCACCAACCTCCTGTCTTAGATAAAGTACATTCATTTCTAAACAGTAAAACAGATATGTATGAAAATACACAGTAAAAAATGGGGTGTTAATATTTCAGAGTAAAGTTATTTTAACCCAGATAGAGTATTTTCAACATTTTTGAGAGTAAAGTTGCTCTATCAGTGGAGTTAAAAGTGAGTGTAAAAATCTGCAGATACGCAGTGACAATTTCAACTCTACAGCAGTGATGAATACCCGCCACTCTGCTTTGCTGAAGTTTGGCACGTACGTTGGTGGAGGAAGATTGCGAAGGAGTAGCTAGGCCACAGATATTGCTAGGTAAGTTACATCCCCGTTTTTTCAACACCAAACCGGTATTTTTTAACTTTACATAATTTTAGAGTTGTGCTGATGTCAAGGTCATATTTTAAGTTACGAGTTCCATGCGGCGGTCCCCCTTGCAGTGACCTCGTCAT